CAGTACATCCAGTACATCCAGTACAGCCAGTACAGCTAGTACGGCCAGTACGGCCAGTACAGCCAGTACAGCCAGTACAGCCAGTACAGCCAGTAGAGTCAGTACAGGCTCTACTAAATGATATTTGATTGAGAAAAATGAAATTTTTTGATTAATTGAGGTTCTACATATTCCATGTAATTCAAAAAATGATGCAACGTCATAAGTTTTCCTATCTTACTATATATAAAGCGAGACGATATATATATATATATCTGTGCCATTTTACTGACACCACGGCATCAACTTTAACGCGACTTTCCGCATAAACCGTAAAAGATATACAACTGGAACTTTTGTTGGCTGGGTCAAATGCTTTAATGGCCTTCAAATCAGCATGAAAAAATAAAAAATTGGCCAAGGAATAATGATTTTAGAGCCGAAAATTTGGACCCCCAAGTGGTGTCAAAAACGCCAATTAAATAGGTAATAATTATTTTAGTATTTTGAGTCTTGACACCATTTTAGGGTTATACGGGTTCCTGCTAGTAACTATAAATTATAATTAAGACGTCGTTTAAAAGTACAACGTATTAATTTTGATGATCCGTACTTGGGTTTTTGGACGTTATTTGACCGGACATTGCGTGAACGGATATAATTTTGAACGGACATTAAAATAAACGGTCGAAGGCATTCATTTAATGTATTTAATTTAACTACCTTGACGGACATTATTTGAACGGACATGAAAATGAACGCTAGGCCTTCCAGCGTCCAATTAATTTCCGATCAAATAAAGTCCGATAAGGTATGTATACCGCGGACTTAGTGTCATCACCCGATAGAAAATATTGTCCATAATTTGATAAAAACAGTAATAATAGTAACTTGGTACAAAAAGTTTGAAACACCTTGGCCCCATGTACGTGATGCAGCAACTTCCTTTTAGGATTTCTCCCCGGCCCTGGTGAATTTGTTTTCAAAATCCCGGCCCCGGCTATTTAACACATATTTGCTGGGATTTTCCCAAATTATTTTGTATAATTCACTGGTTATTTTCAGGTTAAAAACTAGAAAAGTTTGCTAATAAATTCATAAAATTTAATTTCAAATCTTAGAAGATTGTGATAAACAAAATAAATTTATCAATATTTCATGCATGTAACATGATTTGAGATTATCAATAGATTTAAGTTTAACGTCAACCGCGAGTACTAGAAAAATCGAAATTGAGTGAACAAATTCCGGCCCTAAATTTCCCGGCCCCCAGCCCCGTCGAACTTCTGAAATCCCGGTTAATCCCGGCCCGAGCATATCGTTTTTGAATATTCCCCGGTCCCGGTGAAATTTAGTCCCCGGTCGATCCCTGCAATGAACACGATCAACATACCCCGGTACTCTCCTAGCTCCCATTGATTTATAATATCCTCATCAGCAATTGTTATTAATTGTGATGCGATTAAATCATCATTTCTACTTTCAGACTGAGTTTAACTGGTGACTTATCTCCTATTTCTTCTAATGGTTGTAGATGCGTAGGTGATCAAAAAGATCACCGCTGACTAGCAGTTCTGTGCTCTCACTATAATAAAAGCCAGGGCTGTGAATCGGAGGTACCCCGCTAGTGCCTCTCTGTCAGTACCTAGTCGAAAGAGTCGACCTTAGCCTCTCTGCAACAAGTCCTCCTGATGCCTCCACGTGGTGAAGACTGGATACTGGACGATGGATGGTGGTGAACTCCAGGCAAGAATTAGGATGGGCGACGGGTAGATAGCTGACCCCCGGAGAGACAAGATAGGAACGCCAGTTGTCTCTCGAACTCCTAGCCTCTGAAGAAGAGAGGTGTGGAGCATCAGCTGGAAGTGTTGGTCATTATATCCTCTGACTTTCCACTACGACCCAAATGATTGGACCACGCTCTGGTGGAAAGGATGACCCCCCATACCCCACGGTAACGGGCAGTCAGGGAGAGGGCTAGCTCCTGCAAAAGTTTAGCTTATGCTGACACCCTAGCCCCCCTAGCTCAGGGACAGGAGTGGCTACCTTCGGGTAGTGTCGGAGAAGAAAAAGAAGAAGAAGAAGAACTCACCACATCATTTACCCTGAGCAGACAGTTCGATTGGTTCAAGTCTGATAAAAAGTTCAACTCAAGTTGATGTTCCTGCGGTTCAAACCCAAATGTTCCGGTAGCGTGGCTTTGGGAAATGACCATTTGCCACCATGGAGGGGACTCCATGGGGTCATTTAGCTATTTGAAAAACAGCTATGATGAATTTAAACAGCACTAGGGTTAAAGCCCCTAACACGAATCTTGTGGAGGGTCGGCAGTTTTATGACTTGGTTGGCTTAAAACCCAATCTGGGAGGGCCAGGCGATGATGTACTGTCGTACCCAACACAACACAACAGGATAAGTACAGAACCGGAAAAGAAGTGCAGTAATAGTGGCAGTGTTGTGTCGTGTAGTAGGAAAACTTTCATCGGGACACTGAACGTTCGTACTGTTAGGGAACAGTATAAGAGGATAAAGTTAGCATCGCTCTTCCTTGAGAGTTATAGAGTTGCAGTTTTAGGGGTTTTTTTTAAATTATTTTTTTAAAGAGAGGCTGGGCCAAGATAGCCCACGAGAGGATAGCATTGAGATGCTCTGCCTACCTCTGGGGTGTAGCAACCATGGGGAAGGTTGCCGGTGAAATCAGAGTGAATGGTGACGGATGGTGTAAGAAGTGATATGAGTCACAATGATACGCTTAAATGCCAGCTGGGTTTGGAAAAGTAAAACGAGACGAGACAGCATATGAGATAATACTTTAAGTCACCCCGGTCTGATCCAGCTCTTCCGGCACAATTAATCGTTTGGTGCGGTTTGCGAAATTGACAATTGTGGTAATGTGTTGGTTGTCGAATATGTCATTGACAGAGAGGTAGAAGTCCTGGAAATATTGACCTCTAATTTGGGCAATAGCCTTTAGTTGTAGTGAACGCTGAACTTAGTCGTACTGAACGTACGTTCCAATCATTTTGTAGTGAACGTTAGTGAACGTTAGTGAACGTTAGTCAATATTTTGATAATTTTTCCGATAGTTTTTAACTTTAGATGGATACAATGAGATAAAACCATGTTGTCGGAATTAGACAGTAAATAAACAATAATGAATAAAAATAAGTCACTAGTATAGCAAATAGTAATGAAATTTTTGCTCCTTAATTCGTGAATTGTTCATAAGACGCAAACTTGCGTTAACATAAATAAGGTCTCGCTGCTTGTCAACTGTGAGGCGGTTTCTTTTTTTGTTTATCACCCAGTCGAACAAGCTCCAATTCGTCTCACAGGGTGAGGCTGTTGCGACAGCGCTTTCATTGCAAAACTCTGTAGTTCGGGTACCTCGCAACCGAAGTTGCTCCACCAAGAGACTGGATCGTCAGAATCTTGGCTAAAACTTGAGGCAGCGTCAGTAGAGAATAAGCCTCTTTTCTCTCGGTAGAACGTATACTGCGAAAGTATCTTCTTCTTGTTTGCGCCGTCACACCACGTGTCCATGACATCTAGAAACTCTTTCCAGACATCCTGATTCGTGTGCTGATCATATCCCTGATAAGCCGGGTGAACACTAAACCCTACTGAATGTAGGGGGGAATGGAGCTTGAGCCACCTTTTGTTGGCAATACTAACCATATCACTTTTATGGTTTCTATTGCGGAAAGCAAAATTTGCTAATTTTGAGGTGAACAGATAATATTTGTAATAAATTACACCGATGAAACCAACAGGAATCTTAAGACTATTGTCTGAAAATCTAAGCAAGACTATTATCGGCTCGAGAATTGAGCATAAATAGTCGACTTCTATCCAGAAATGGGGGTCAAACACTAAATCTTTAGCGCACTCAAACAAATTCTTGTATGCATTACTTTTATTGCTAACAGACTCAGTAAGGGTTGGATCAATATAAGTCTTAATCAAAGTATCCTTGGAACCCTTCAGTCTCTCTAAAATAATAAACTGGGTGGCAAACCGAGTTTCCCCTGGTTTTAGCAAATTGACATGAGAATGGGTTCTAAACGTTTTTAGAATCATGTCGTGATTCTTCACATTTGTAACTATTTTGTTACAATTCGACAATGTTTCCTTGGTCCAGCTCAATATGTAAATTTGCGGGAAACGATGGCCGGATGGCGTGTCGACGTGTTAATATTTTAAATCTGATTAACGTTCCTTATGTTCCGAACGTTAAAATCTTTTAGCGAACGCGTTCACAAACTATTTTTAGTGAACGTTCCGTACGTTCACTATTGAATAGCCGGACACTGTCCAAGGAAGTGTGAGACAGTTTCCTCTCCGTCGCCGCACATAGGACAAGCACTGGTGTTCGATTTGCAAATGGTGTGAAGGTGTTTGTTTAAGCCGCAGTGACCCGTGATGAGGTGAACTGCAGTTCTGCAATCTTGTCTGTTGTTGCTGAGTGTAGTGTTGAGGTTTTTGATGATTTTGGCGTGCTTGTGGCCGAGTGTCAGTTTGGTGTGTCTGGGACCGTCTGTTAACCAAGTTTCCTGATTTAGTCTGTTGACTTTGTTGTCGATTTGACGCTTGATGTAGGATTGTGGAATTGGACACTTCAAAGTGGATTCACTGATTGTACCAAGCTTGGCCAGCTTCGTTCCCCCACAATCCGATGTGTGCTGCAATCCATCGTATCTCTAGCGTGTTGTTGGATCCGAGTGCATTGAGAGAGTCGTAACAGTCTCTTGTAGTTCTACTCCGCGTTGAAAGCGCAGAGATAGCTTGTATAGATGAGAGACTGTCAGACCATATGATGATATGTGTGTTGGTATAGGTAGAGAGATATTTGCAAGCTTCAATGATGGCGGTGAGCTCTGTTTGGTGTTTTAGGGGTGCAGGAGCACCGGATTGTGCATGAGGAGGAGATCAAGATCCAGAGTTTTGAGAAGGGTGTGTGCCTGGTGACCACACCTGCTTGGAGAAACACCCGACAAGCTGCTACTGGTGGAGTTGGGTTTATGCTGACCAAGCAGGCCTACAAAGCAGTGAGTCTCATGAAATCGTTTGGGAAGCGAATTTTTCTCATATCCTTTGATGGAAACCCACGGCTTACAGTAATAACGGTGTACAGTCCCACTGAAGCAGCATCAAATGAAGATGCAGAGGATTTTCACGAGGGACTAAGATCTGCAGTAGGAGAGGTACCAGCCCATCATCTGCTAATGGTTGTTGGTGATCTTAACGCCCATCTTAGCAGATTGAATGAGGAGGATTCAGGTTGGTACTGGCATCAAGTATCCAACAGAAACAGATCGCTTCTCAGGGATACTTTGTTGGAGGGAAACCTTGAGGCAACAAACCACCGATTCCAGAAACGTCCCGGTAAACTATGGACGCATCTCTCTGACGGAACACTGAGCAAGAGTCAGATTGATTACATCCTGATAAGGAAGAAGTGGCGTAACTCAGTCAAGGACACTGTTGTCTCCAATTCTTTTAACTCTCTTGGGTCGGACCACCGTCTAGTAGTTAGTGCAGTCAAACTCAGCCTGCGAAAGTGCCACAATGCACCTAAAGTGGTAAGATATGACTACAGACTGCTCAAAGAGAATAAGGAGTTGCAAGCCTTGTATTCTACTACTACTACTACTACTATGTCGGAGCTAAGTCCGATCTACGCCAGAAAACCCCCTCCATATATCCCTGTCCCGCATCAGGGTTCGCAGTTCCTCTTTAGAGTTTGTCCCAACTTCCTTCAGTAACATAGACAAGTAGCTTTGTCTTGGTCGGCCTTGCTTATGGGAACCTACGCACGGTAGAGCACAGCAAGGCCGACCAAGACAAAGCTACTTGTCTATGTACTTGTATTCTGTGGAGGTGAAAAACAGATTCTCTATGCTACTGGAGGAAGAATCTAGAGAGCAGAACGATCCCACGATTCAGTACGGAAAGCTTATGGATGCCGTGAAAGCAACCAATCATAAGTTGCTTAAGCCCATCCCAAGAAGACAACGTAACAACCCCTCCCAAGATCCTAGGGTATCGGAGAGGAGGAGAACTCTGTTTCAGGCCAAAGACGCATATCATGAGAATCCTACAGAGGAGAGTAGAGAGGTAGTTAAGGAGTGTAAGGATGCACTTGCAGAGAGCTACAAAGAGGTTGAGGAGGAGACTCTTGTTTCTCGGATCAGCCGGGCTGAGGTTGCTGCTGACAGGTGCAAGAATAAGGAAAGCTGGGACCTTATTAATGACATAAATGGCAGGAAAAGCAAGCCATGCAGCCTGGTTGATGGAGGTAGTGCAGAGGGGAGATTGAAGAGCTGGAAGGACCACTTCACTAAGCTCCTGGGTCAACCACCATCTGTACCTGACCAGGAACTAGTTATCCAAACCATCCACCCCCAGCAGGATATAAAGACAGGTCTGTTTTTCAGGGAGGAGTTAGCGGAGGCGAGGAAGCAGATCAAGGAGGGTAAGGCCTATGGTGATGATGACATAGCTCCAGAGATTCTCAAAAGAGTTGACATGGACGACCTGATTCTAGAGTTCTGTAACAGCGCTCTGGTTGATGGAAAAATCCCTGATCAATGGCGGCAACTCAACATCGTGCCTGTGCCAAAGAAAGGAAATCTAACTAAAGTGGATAACTACAGAGGAATCGCTCTTACGTCCATTGTTAGTAAGACCCTGAATCGTATGATCCTTAACAGAATCAGACCAGCGATGGAGAAAATCCTAAGGATCAACCAAAACGGATTTCGGGAGGGACGCAGTACCACCAGCCACATTCTGTGTCTAAGGAGGATCTTGGAGGGGGCTAGAGACAAAAACCTGACCGCCCTTCTCTTGTTCATCGATTTTAAGAAGGCCTTTGATAGCATTCATAGGGGTATATTGATGAAGATACTCCTGGCATATGGGATACCAGAGCCCATTGTTAGGCTGATAGATGCTATGTACAAGGACACCATGGCACGAGTCATCACGGAGGATGGTCTGACTGAAGCTTTCCTTATACTTGCTGGAGTTATGCAGGGAGATACACTGGCGCCCTACCTCTTCGTGATTGTCATTGACTATGTGATGACAACAGCACTTAGAGGCAAAGATCTGGGCTTCACTGTCAACCCCAGAAGAAGCAGGAGATACCCAGCAGTTAAGGTGACAGATGTCGACTTTGCTGACGATCTTGCACTGACAACAGACACCGCAGAGCAAGCGCAAGATCTTCTCCTCAGTGTGGAGCTGGCTGCTAACTCCGTTGGACTTCACCTCAACGAGAGTAAGACGAAGTACATCAGAGTCAATCTCTCTGAGTCTGGCTCTACCGTCATTAAAGCAGCAAGTGGACAGGAGATAGAGCAAGTAGATGACTTTGTCTACCTTGGAAGCAGAATAATGAGTGCGGAGAAGGACTTTGATGTTAGGAAAGCAAAGGCATGGGGGGCCTGTCATCAGTTAAAGACAACCTGGAAGTCTGGAATGCGCAGGGACTTAAAGATCCGTGTCTTTCGAGCAACGGTTGAGTCCGTACTCCTGTACGGCTCTGAAGCTTGGACGATAAGCCAATCCATGACTAAGCGGATCAATGGATGCTACACTAGAATGCTCCGGATGGCCTTGAACATACGTTGGCCACAAATCATCAACAACAGTGATTTATACGGCAACATCCCCAAGCCATCAGCGATGATAGCCTCCAGAAGAATGAGACTGTCTGGACATGTAGCCAGGCATGACGACCTTCTGGCAAACCAACTTCTGTTCTGGGACCCTCAGCATGGATACAGGAGACCGGGGAGGCCCCACCTTACGTTTCTGGACATGCTAAAGAATGACACCAGCCTTTTCTGTGTTGACGAGATAAGATCTGTTATGCTTGACCGCGACGTGTGGCGAGGAATTGTATATAGCTGCTCGGACCAAGAAGCCGACTTAAGTCAGTCACTAAGTTGATAAATACAACAATATCCGTGTACCAATCATGGGAGTATCAAACTCGCTAACGGGTTAAATATCAGTTACTATATTATTATTTTAACTAAACTTTTAATTGTGCCCTATTTTCTATAATTACCAGTGCGGTTATCTGTTTGGTGAGAATTCTGGTATGTTCCTAATTTCATTAACATAATACGAGGGTCATCGATCTCCCACAAGCCGTTCAGCAATGAGCTATTTTGTGTTAATCGTCGATTTAATTTTAATTATCCATTGGGAAACAATGCTTGTCCAAAATCTCACCTTCAAGCTTTGACATCTTTTACAGTTTACACTATTTCTTAACTCTATATCAAAGGTCGCCCGGCAAGTCTCACAAGCTGTTGATTTATTCAGTGGTAGGTTGCCTGGTTTCTCTCAAGTCATCAGGTTATTCGGCTATAACTCTTCTACGGAAATAGATTACCCAATACAGCCAGTACAGGCTTTACTAAATGATATTAGATTGAGCAAAATGAAAATTGCATTGTAGATTTATAATTGAGGTTTTGCATATTCTATGTGATTCAAAAAATGATGCAACGTCATAAGTTTTCCTATAACTATAAATTATAATTACGATGTCGTTTAAAAGTACAACGTATTAATTTTGATAATCCGTACTTGGGTTTTCGACACAAGTCCTACCTTATCGGACGTTATTTGACCGGACATTGCGTGAACGGATATAATTTTGAACGGACATTAAAATGAACGGTCGAAGGCATTCATTTAATGTATTTAATTTAACTACCTTGACGGACATTATTTGAACGGACATGAAAATGAACGCTAGGCCCTCCAGCATCCAATTAATGTCCGATCAAATAAAGTCCGATAAGGTATATACCGCGGACTTAGTGTCATCATAGAAAATATTGTCCATAATTTGATAAAAACAGTAATAATAATAACTTGATACAAAACGTTTGAAACACCTTGGCCCCATGTACGTGATGCGGCAAATTCCTTTTAGTTTTAGGATTTGCGTTTTCTCCCCGGCCCCGGTACGTGAATTTGTTTTCAAAATCCCGGCCCCGGCTATTTAACACATATTTGCTGGGATTTTCCCAGAATATTTTGTATAATTCACTGATTATTTAGGGGGGACATACATAGGTTAGAATGGTTTTTGTGCACCAAGAGGAGTGAGGGAATGAGGGTTGAAGAGAGAGAGCTAGAGAGTTGTTAGGGTGGTTAGGTTCAGTAGGTGGAGTGTTTGGTTGGAGCGTTCTGTTTTTTGCTGTATAGCATTTTAGTCACTCCGCAGTTTATTAACTGTGTCTCAACTCTCAGACTGAGATTATAACTGGTGACTTATATCTCCTATTTGATAAATACAACCATATCATATCCGTGTACCAATGGGAGTATCAAACTCGCTAACGGGTTAAATATCAGTTACTATAATATTATTTTAATTAAACTTTTAATTGTGCCCTATTTTCTATAATTTCGTTACCGGTGCGGTTATCTGTTTGGTGAGAATTCTGTTATGTTCCTATAATTTCATTAACATAATACGAGGGTCAAAATAAGGAGAACATTGAAAGAGAGAGGGAGGTGCAAGTAGGTTCTCTGGAGATGCAGAGCAGGTGGGGTGAGTGGAGAGAGCTCGTAATGAAGACGGATTTGAGCTGGCATACACTTTTTAAGTATGGTGACTCACTTATTGGGTTCATGCTAAGTGCTGTGTATGGCACCCTCTTAACTCCCTTTATGGTTTCCAAGTGGAGTGAAGATGAGGATGGGAAGTGCAAGTTATGTGAGGAGAGGATGGGCACCATTCAGCACATTTTGGCTGGGTGTAAGGTGGCCCTTAGTCAAGGAAGGTATAGATGGCGGCACGACAAGGTTCTGAAGCAGATCTCTGAACAGGTTGTCTTCCATTGTAATCGCCGAGTGAACACTTATAAGAACAAGGCCGGCGATGGAAGGCAGTTCATTGATTTTGTTCCTGCTGGGAAAAGAAAATCAGGTACAGACGACCGGAAGGAGAGTTGTGGTTTTGGGATCCTGAGTGGGTATCGGGATTGGATAGTGCTGTCAGACCTTGAGGGGCAGCTTAAGTTTCCCAGTGAGATTGTGGAAACACGGCTGAGGCCGGACCTTGTGATATTCTCAAGATCGGCAAAGACAGTTATTTGGTGGGAGCTAACAGTACCATCTGAAGAGCGGATCGCTGAATCGCACGAGTACAAGCTCGACCGATACAGCGGTCTGCAGGCTGAGATTCAGGCGAAAGGTTGGTGCTGTTATAATGCCGCAGTCGAAGTTGGAGCTAGGGGAGTTGTTGCACAGAGTTTGGAGAGAGCTGCGAGGAGGATTGGTTTTAGGGGAAGAGAGCTGAAGAAGCTGGTACGGGACAGCGGGAAAGAGGCAGCCCACTGTTCCAGATGGATTTACTTGTTATCGAGAAAGAGGGAGTGGGAGTTCAGGAAGGTTGGAGCTTGAGAGTTCACTATAACATCTAGAGGTACCATAAACGTTATCTCGTCGCCAATTGCGAGCTCTAACGGGTCTCCTCAAGTGACTCTCGGATCAGATGGTGGTTCAAGGGTGGACTGCTGGGGCGCCTGACAGGAAACCGTATTGCGATTAAAGCCCCGAAACGGTGTCAGGTTGGTAACTGATGATTCTGATCCATGCTCCTGTGAGTTTGCTGTTGTATCTCAACTCGCTAAACTGAGGCATCTCCGCATCTTGGGTGAATATGCGTACATCTTCATACCTACTAAACCCAGGTGTGGCATGTGTCAGTGAATACGGGCGAGCGGATGCAATAGCGAAGGTGGTGTGGCAAGGCCTAAAAGACACAGTCAGATAGTTGTCAGCTCGCTGACTGTAAGGGAGAAGGTATATCCGTATTTCGCTGCTACTGATGCAGTCCTTGATCTGGCAATCAAGGCTTCTCTGTTTTTCGTCTTACTATGTACCGTTGGGCTTGTGGAACCCGTAGGGGGGACATACATAGGTTAGAATGGTTTTTGTGCACCAAGAGGAGTGAGGGAATGAGAGAGAGAGCTAGAGAGTTGTTAGGGTGGTTAGGTTCAGTAGGTGGAGTGTTTGGTTGGAGCGTTCTGTTTTTTGCTGTATAGCATTTTAGTCACTCCGCAGTTTATTAACTGTGTCTCAACTCTCAGACTGAGATTATAACTGGTGACTTATATCTCCTATTTGATAAATACAACCATATCATATCCGTGTACCAATGGGAGTATCAAACTCGCTAACGGGTTAAATATCAGTTACTATAATATTATTTTAATTAAACTTTTAATTGTGCCCTATTTTCTATAATTTCGTTACCGGTGCGGTTATCTGTTTGGTGAGAATTCTGTTATGTTCCTATAATTTCATTAACATAATACGAGGGTCATCGATCTCCCGCACAAGCCATTCAACAATGAGCTATTTTGTGTTAATCGTCGATTATCCATCGGGAAACAATGCTTGTCCAAAATCTCACCTTCAAGCTTTGAAATCTTTTACACTATTTCTTACGCCTATATCAAAGGTCCCCCTCCAAGTCTCACAAGCTATTGACTTATTCAGTGGTAGGTTGCCTGGTCTCTCTCAAGTCATCAGGTTATTCGGCTATAACTCTTCTACGGAAATAGATTACCCAGTACAGCCAGTACACCCAGTACAGCCAGTACATCCAGTACATCCAGTACAGCCAGTACAGCCAGTACATCCAGTACAGCCAGTACAGCCAGTACAGCCAGTACATCCAGTACAGCCAGTACAGCCAGTACAGCCAGTACAGCCAGTACAGCCAGTACAGCCAGTGCAGCCAGTACAGCCAGTACAGCCAGTACAGCCAGTACAGCCAGTACAGCCAGTACAGCCAGTACAGCCAGTACAGCCAGTACAGCCAGTACAGCCAGTACAGCCAGTACAGCCAGTACAGCCAGTACAGCCAGTACAGCCAGTACAGCCAGTACAGCCAGTACAGCCAGTACAGCCAGTACAGCCAGTACAGCCAGTACAGCCAGTACAGCCAGTACAGCCAGTACAGCCAGTACAGCCAGTACAGCCAGTACAGCCAGTACAGCCAGTACAGCCAGTACAGCCAGTACAGCCAGTACAGCCAGTACAGCCAGTACAGCCAGTACAGCCAGTACAGCCAGCATGACAGGCTCTACTTAATAATATTAGATTGAGCAAAATGACAATTTTTGATTAATTGAGGTTCTACATATTCTATCACTATGTGATTCAAAAAATAATGCAACGTCATTAGTTTTCCTATTACTATAATTAAGAAGTTGTTTAAAAGTATAGGACTTGGGTTTTCGACACAAGTCCTATACCGCGGATTTAGTGTCATCACCAGATAGAAAATATTGTCATAATTTGATAAAAACAGTAATAATAATAACTTGATACAAAACGTTTGAAACACCTTGGCCCCATGTACGTGATGCGGCAACTTCCTTTTAGGATTTGCGTTTTCTCCCCGGCCCCGGTACGTGAATTTGTTTTCAAAATCCCGGCCCCGGCTATTTAACACATATTTGCTGGGATTTTCCCAGAATATTTTGTATAATTCACTGGTTATTTTCAGCTTAAAAACTCGAAAAGTTTGCTAATAAATTCATAGAATTTAAGTACAAATCTTAGAAGTTTGTGATAAACAAAATGAATGTATCAATAATTCATGCATGTAACATGATTTGAGATTATCAATAGATTTAACATCAACCGCGAGTACTAAAATTATCGAAATTGAGTGAACAAATTCTGGCCCTGGCCCCGGCCCCGGCTAAATTCACCTAAATATCCCGAGGCCCCGTCGAACTTCCGAAATCCCGGTTAATCCCGGCCCGAGCATATCGTTTTTGAATATTCCCCGGTCCCGGTGAAATGTCGTCCCCGGTCGATCCCTGCAATGAACACGATCAACATACCCCGGTACTCTCCTCCCATTGATTTAAAATACTCTCATCAGCACAATTGTTATTAATTGTGATGCGATTAAATCATCATTTCTACTTTCAGACTAAGTTTAACTGGTGACTTATCTCCTATTTGATGAATACAACAATATCCGTGTACCAATGGGATCGGAGTAACAAACTCGCTAACGGGTTAAATATCAGTTACTATAATATTAT